TGATTTCAAAGTCCAAGATGAAAACCATACAGTATTTTATTTGGTCCATTTTTTCCCTTTCATCTCCTAGGAGTAGAACTCTAGTGACGTCTCCCCTCTAGATAGATTGGCCGGGTTGTCCCTGCCATGGATATGATCTGCATCCAGGGTCGGACTGACCCACAGGGATACCGGGAATTTTTCGCCCCCCCTCTCTCTTGGCAACGGGCTTGACATAAAAGTTTAGGATTTTTGTAATTGTAAATCTATTTCTAACAATCTGAGCTAGCCATAAAGGAAATTAACTGCATCTAACAGGAAAGTTACGAAGATTTAAGCCTTCGAGGAATGAATTTATACCATTGGGAGACACCCCAAGGATGCGAATCGCTGTCGGTCTTAACAATACTGTACATACCACTGAGAAACTGTGCCTCTTCCAGGAGAGAGCATCAACCATAGTGGCGTAAGCAAGGGGAGCCGAGACCCTGTGACTGGTAGAAGTCTGTCCGGAATGGTTCCTTATTCAGTCTGTATGACAATACTGTAAAGTAGGTCCGATCAAGTGTGACGACAATCGAGGCTTCAAAAAGCAAGTGCTTCTGAACGGAGGGCATGCGCAAGCGATCCTCATCCTTACCTTCCTGCGCAAGGAGTGACTACGCAACGTAGGCAAGCCCAAAGACCTTTGGCAAGCCTACCCTCTCTCATTCCAGAAATACGGTTCTTGTCCGTTCTCCTGGATGAATTCGTTGGGATTTGAGTAAAAAAGGATTTCCAGCTATTTAGGGAAGAATCGAGGAATAAAGTAGCAAATAATACACTGGTGGACAATATTAAGGTAACACCGTTTTTCGTCAATATTTTAATTACAATAGTAAGTTAAAAGGTGAAAATACGTACTTTTACATGAAAATTCCGAATATCCTATCGAAATTGATCTACGTGCGTATTTAGTAATTAGTGAAGCGTATAAAAGGACGGCGACTATTGTCTTCTTCTAAGCATGTCTGTCTGAACATGTAATTTTTCGTTCCATGATGTAATTATCATGACCGTTATTACCAGTCCAAAGTTCCTCCTTTTTTTCAATACACTTATCGGTAATTATAAATTGTATCTCTGTACAAATTTTCATTGATATAACTCACAGAATAAAGACGTTATTCTGGTTTTTGTGATTGTTACCTTAACCCTGCTCTGGTACCATGGGGTCTCTGTGATCCCACTCCTCTTTGACCCATGTTTTTTTTTAAACTATCAGGATTATTGACCTCGCCTTTCACGTATTTTTTCGTTTGTTTGTCGATATTTGAGTACAAACGTTTGTTGTATAATATTATTTGGAGAAAAACAAAATATTGTAATAAACAGTGTTTTTATTCTGGTAATATAGTACTTTTTTTACCATGGGGTCAAATTGACCCCATGGTACTGTCAACGTAACTTTTTCATGGTACCAGAGCAGGGTTAATTTTGTCCACCAGTGTAGTTTGAGAACTGACTTTAAACTAGTTAGGCACTGCCTACCCTGACGAGCCGCTACTGTCGATGCAGTTTCCACCACGACGGAAAGGAACCGTACTGGTGCCATTTTTCGCTACAGTAACGCGATAGAAGCGTACGCGATTCTACCAGTCAGCATGCTCTGCAGGTGGGCGCAACCATGGCGTCAAAGTGGGAGGTCCCATATGGCGTCTCCGTGTGATTCGTGATCATTCGCCTAAGCTAAGGACGAACTCTCCGGGATAGCTGTTCCTAGCTCGCAACTCAGCTCTTTATTTCTATAATTTCTTTAGTACTATAAAGGCATCTCCTTTTAGTTGCTATTACCGCTCATATGAATGTAAAGAATTTTGTACCTTAACTAAATATCTTATTTGACTATTGGTGCAATGGTCTCTTAGTCAAAGTAAATTCAAAAGAAAGGTTTGATTCACGCCAGTTGTGCATTTATCACTAAAAATAAGAACATACCGCTTAAAGATGGTCAACCAAAAACAGGGTTAGGCCAAGATCCCCATGGAGCCACATCAATTCCTCTCCTGGACTGGGCCACGCCTATTTAATAATCCCATGCTTTGACTCTTGGTCCGATAGGTCTAAGTGAGGTTGCTAAATGTCTGTAGGATAAACACCTCCTTTCCTTGAAAAGAACAAGGTTTAATCAAGTCAGACCATAACATCCTACAAAGTTGGCCATAGGATGATTGGTTTTGTGTGTTGCATAAATGTTATGACCAAGACGTTTATCTCAGTTCATGTATATCTTAAAATGAATAATCTTAATGATAATTTACCTAGGCATCTTTCAGAAGCTAGCATTTCTACTTTCCTTTCAGAAATGAGCAGTCTTTATTGCATTCCCACTTTAATTAAGAAAGATCAATACAATTAAACAAATTAAACAATACAATTAAATAAATTAAATTTTAGATCAATACAATTAAACATTTAAATAAGATATATGTTCCTAGCTAGTTGAGATTCAGATGTGAAAACTTTGTTTTTGTCTTAGTCTGATAGGGTATCAGGTTCACACCAGACCAAGTTTGATGGGAATGAACATCAATTATATGCTTTGTTAAGAATTGCTTGAGCAGACTGAGTTTCTGAGTTGGTGATGTAATTCTAGAGCTCACTTGATTTTTAATTTTATCTTTTCTATCTAATAAACTTCTTACTGTGCAGCATTGAGTGGGATGTTGGTTACCTGAGCATCGCTATCTCCACATTTGTAGAACCCAATACACTGGCTGCTAATGAGTAGCATAGGTGCGAACCTTAATCAGCTAATGATTTGTGATTTTGTGGTGAATGTGAGAGAGACTTAAGCTGTGGACACCCTCATCTGCTCTCTGTTCAGGCAGAAACTGTTCCTCTTCTTAATCTTTTTCATTCCTAGTGCAGAGATGTCGAAAAGGGTCAAGCTGCACCGCAAGCAGATGGCAGGGTCGTGCCCCTGATGAGACTCCTGCAATGCTTGGTGGCACTTCAGGCTAATTTCGCTTTCTTTCTCTTTTTTGTGGCTTCTTCACAGTTCTTCAGTTGCTTCAGTCCACTTAGGCTAGGGGTCTGCTGCGGATGAACATCCTATGTTTATATATATATTATTGAGAGAGTCATGCCGATCAAGCTGCACAGTAAGAAGTTTATTAGATAGAAAAGATAAAATTAAAAATCAAGTGAGNGCTAGCCTTCCCCTCCATTCTTCGTTTCTCTCATAGGCTAGAGCCATTCCGAGCCATGCTCTCGCTCCTTTTTCTTCATTGGCTCAAGTCTACCATGCATTTCAGTCGCGAGGCTGATCGAGCCAATCGATCGTTAACTGTGGCACTGACAGACGGACTTAAGCCATGATTGCCTCTGAGGCATTAGGTACAGTCTAACTATTTAATTCCATAGGCCGTAGTACCTGGCAGTAGAAACTTTCTAGGTAGGGTTTGTTTGGACAGACTTGCGACCTCAACCCCCTGATGACGCAGGCTGCCTGATAATTTTCTAGGATGAGATCCTTCGCTGTCCATTCTCTTTTTAACTTCCTTTAGCCTTGCCCCATATCTGCAGGCTGTTTTGCCATAGATTATTTGCTATATGTCCTCTTCTTCTGGGCTAGGAGCCGGTCATAGCCTGCCTGTTGCTTTGGGTGGCTATTGCTAGGGAAGGCGTCACTGTTTTACTTGAATTCAATCTATATGCACGCCTCAAATGAGAGCGGTTTTCACCGCCCATTTGGGCATTCGCTAATTAAGCCAACCTTTTTGCCTTACCTTACCTTACCTATATATATATATATATATCCTTTAGTCTTAAATACAGTATGTCCTTTAAATGCTAACCATAGTGTTGACCTAATGCCAGTTGGTATGGTTTCCATCTACCATGTTTACTGATATTTTATTTTACATCTATGACTTTTTCACTAGGCTTAAAAAGTTGCCTTTTCCATGGACAGACAAGAAGTATCATCCTTAAATAAAAGTTATACATGGTGGAGTATCAAAAACTCTTGTGAGAAACCCTTTCAAAGTGCTGGAATGAGATGCCATCGGTCTATTCCAATTTGCTTCTAAATGTGGCTTACATGTGACTCATCATCCAGAATTTTAAGGTTCTTTTTCCTAGGTCAAAGGTCATGGGTTATGTAGGAATGAACTGATCATGCTTGAATGAAGTTTCTAGGTGTACCCTGAGCTTTGTTCTATGGTTTAAGAATGGCCTGCACCTTTCTTGATGCAGTAAGGGATATTCTTGGAGCTTGGTCTGGATTTCAAGTGAGTCCTTTGTTTTGAGGAAGAAGGGATTGAAGGAGATAAATATGGAGTTTCAAAGAGACAACATTTACACAAACACAACTACTCCATATAAGTTATTAAAAAAGGATTCATTGATGTAAGACCTAGAGAGACAGCTGTCAATCAAAGATGTGAAATAGAGGGAAAGGAGCAAAGAGTAGGAAAGCATGCCAAAACAAAAGAATTAATTCCTGGAATTTTTTGAGGATGGAAGAAGAATAAGAATATGATCCATGAATCTTTATTTGTACACTGCCATATGCTGAGTTGGTTCCTTTGACCTCTCCTTTATTTCTGTAATTACTTTCTTTCAGTCCTCTAATTGTTGCACTTGACAATAGGCTGTAGTTTTGCATCCACCATTGCACAGTGGGACAAAATACATTTTCCTGGCCAAAATTAAAAAAATTGAATTTTTTTTGTTCCATTCTCCCCTGAGACATATGAAAATAGCAAGAATAAGATGCTGCCTTTTGATGCAACGGAAACTATTCCAAAGGTCTATGCTTCTATTAAGGTGTTGTGAAACCAGGAAAAGTAATTTTAAGTTGCCTTAAGCATTTTTTGGTGCTGATATCACATCATCTTACAGGATGGTTATGAAACCCATGACAGTTTTCAGTTTCTTCCTGTGCTAAGGCAAGACAACATGAGGCACTGATCACACATGAGGGAGGGTTTGGGGTATTTTGATTAACATTTTTGGTTCTCAGCAGTTCTTACATTATGTCTTCTGCTTGGGGTCCAATGCAGGGACCATATGGAGGTTAGCCTTGTGCTAGGAGACTAGGTGCACATGCCTCAAGTGGAAGGTGGTTGGATAGTTCAGAAAGCAGAAAAATACAAAAACTTATTTGTCATTCAAAATCTTCTTGCAGTTGATGGTAAAAAAAGAAATGCAAGTTTCATTTCTGCCTTGTCCTGTTTCCTTTTGCAACCAGCTGAAAATTCTTGACTTGAATTAATGAGGATTCTTGTGAGTCTTAGTAGGGGATTCAAGGAAGAATAAATGAGTCTCCTCTCTTGCAATCTTTGTTGCTTAATTTTTCTGTTACATAGTTACACCTGACTTTATGACTGCCAAATGTGTGTGTGTGCGCACGTGTGCACGCGTGCACACGTGCACGTGTGTGTGCATGTGTGCTTGCATGCTGCATCCTTGTTCCTCATGCCCGCATACATGTATGTTTGTGTTACAGATGATAATCCAGCATCAACTGGGAGGACCAGAGACCCAGGAAAAAGCCAAATGGCTTATTGGTGCCACTGATGCCTATTTTCATGAGAATGGTATGTTAGGTGCTCAAATGTGCTTCTACTTGGATATTTGTCTTTATCTAGTTTTTGGGAGTCAGAAAATATCTGCAACTTGTAATTCTACTACTGTTTGGTTTCAGTTTTATCAAGAAATAGAATCAATCTCTTTGATACTATCGCTTGGCACTTGGCAGTAAGGGGTGGTCAAGAGATAGGGCTTTTATTAGTTTACTCAATAACTTAAAAAATGCATCATTCCACAAGGATGTAGACACCTTGATGCTCAGTTTCTTAAAGCCATTTTCAAAGTGACCACAAGTGCTTTTCACACATCTCTGCTACTTGACGGGACAAAGTTCACCAAGTCTGTTTGAAGGAGTTGAGGTTCTTGCTCTTCACATTTCCTTTCTGTCTTTTGCAAATGGACCTTGAACCGTATCTCTTGGCCACCCCTTTATATTTGAGCACACAGGTACTTTGAAGCATTTGAACAAAACTGATCACAATTATCCCATCTGTTTTAGCAAACTTGGAGCCCCATGAGGTTGCCTATTACCTGGAAGAAGTTCTGGATTCAGAATTCAATACCATCATGGAGGATGGATCAGTAGATGTAGTGAGCAAAGACCTTGTGGCAGCTTTCACTGCCTTATCAAGAAAGGATTTTGCACAGCTCCATGCTATCTTGCCTAAGCCCATCCTAAGTTCATCCAATGGAAATATGCCAACTCTTCAATCCCAGAGCCCATCTTCGCGAGCATTGGTACTATTCTATGCATACATTTAGCTGCACTGGTTTTTCATAGAAGGATGTAGGTGTTGTAAAAAAGCAGCAATCTTAGCCTATATTTCTTTCCCCTTTGATTCAGGAGGAAGTGATGGAGGTGGATGATGCTCAGTTGCACGTGGCATCAACATCACAGGATGATGGCTGGACTGTTGTAAAAAGTAAAAAAAGAAACAGCTGATTTTCTCTTCATGATTTGTTCAGATGTGATGTTTTTATTAATTAAAGTCATTAATCCAGAAAGTGTATGTTACTTGTATTTTTGTTACACCACATGCAATTCTTGATGATGATGATAATGGAATTTTCACTTGATTGTATTTGGGGGAGTAACCTTCGAGCAGAACATCTACAAGAAGCCCTCTGTGATTAAAAAATACGGTGAATGTTCTTTTTCCGTTCCTGTCTCCCTGACAGAGGATTTTTCAGTGGGTAGTGTCATTCTGCGGTGAAACCACATCGATACATTTACCTTGAACGGTGTAATACTGAACCCGAGTATCTCATCCATCTATCACAAGTAAATTTGCCGATGACACAAAAATAAGGGGGGAGGCGGATTGGGCTAGAGCTGAGCGAGATGAATCTTTTGGATGAGTGGAGCAAGAAATGGCTCATGAGGTTTAATAAAATTAAATGTAAAGTTCTCAACGTCGGTTGAAACAATGGTAGGTCTCTCTATGCATTTGGCGAGGATAAACTGGGGAGGGGGGGGGGGGGTTGTAAACTGAGAGAAAGATTTAGGAGTTTCTATCGACGATGACCAAGTATTCCTCGCACGCGCAAGCGACGGTGGCCAAATGTAACTGGATTCTCGGATTCATTTGTCGCTCAGTTGCAAGTAGGAACTCGCGCGTTATTCTTCCGTTGTATGCGGCACTGGTAAGACCCCCAGTTGGAATATTGCATCCAGTTCTGCAGGTCCACAAATAAGGGTGAATTGATGGCGTTCGAGGGAGTACAGAGGGCCACAAAAATGATTAAGGTTAGTGAACGTACGAGAAGCGTTTGCAAGTGCTGGGACTGCACTCGCTCGAAAGAAGTTAAGGAGGGGCGATCTCAAACAGACATTCAAGATAATTAAAGGAATAGACAATGTAGAGCGTGGTAGGTTCTTCCAGTTTGATGGCAGCAAGAGAACGATAGGTAATCGACTCAAGTTGCGTAAACCGCAGGTGCGGCTCAGGTCGAGACAGGATCTTTACTTGTACAGTAGAGTGGTGAACGCGTGGAATGCTTAAGACGACGACGTAGTGGCTGCCCCTTCCGTGACTATTTTAAGGAAGAAACTAGATGCTCTCATGGAGAAGCAAAAAAGGGGGGTAATGTTGACGTAAGGGACTAGCCAGTAAGCAACTAGGATATGATAATTAATATAATTCACAAAAATATAATGGATGTTATCGCCTCTTACAGTAATACCACTAAACAACCTTGATACATCTAGTGGTCCTCGTGCTGACAGCTCTGTTCAGCTGATGACATATTCCAACCCATTCTACATTTGGTTAGGGGTTAGCTTGCGAGACACTCATTCTAATCCTAATACGGACACATTTCTAACAACTGCTTAAGAGGGAGGTACGAGGGCCACTCAATAAGTAATTACCTGAATATGAAAGGGATGAGCAACAGGCCTGTGCCTGCTGTGATATGTCTCGACAGGTCTCGTGAGTGCCCCACCTTAACTTCTTTCGAGCGAGTGCAGTCCCAGCACTTGCAAACGCTTCTCGTACGTTCACTAACCTTAATCATTTTTGTGGCCCTCTGTACTCCCTCGAACGCCATCAATTCACCCTTATTTGTNCCAAGCAGGAGTCCATGCAGTGGAAGCACAAGGGATCGCCAACGCCTCGCAAATTTCGTGTTCAGAAATCTGCAGGAAAGATTATGGCCACTGTGTTTTGGGACAGCGAGGGACTACTGCTGCTTGAGTTCATGCCAGACAAGTGTACAATCACTGGCGATTCCCATGAAAAATTTACACGATGCCATCAAGGAAAAACGCAGAGGAAAGTTGTCAAGGGGGGTCCTTCTTCTCCATGACAACGCGCCCGTCCACAAATCATGGAAAGTTCAGGCAGCAGTGAGGGAGTGTGGCTTTCAGGAGCTCAACCATCCTCCCTACGGCCCGGATCTGGCTCCTAGTGACTATTTTCTGTTCAGACACTTGAAAAAATGTTTGCGGGGAAAAGGATTTTCATGCAATGAAGAGCTGAAAGTTGCCGTTTCTGATTAGTTTCATGGACAAGAAGTTGACTTCTATTCCCAGGGAATAAAATCCTTGGAATCAAAGTGGAATAAGTGTGTTGAGTTAAAAGGTGACTACATTGAAAAATAAAGTGTTATTTTTCCCCTCGGATGTTTATTTCTTATTCAGGTAGATAACTTATTGAGTGACCCTCGTATGTATGATGAGTTGAACTTTCCCCTCTCTCCCTCCCATTCCTTCTGCTCTGTGCCTCAGGCAAACCAGGCAGTCATTGCACATGCCTGTGGGGGCTAGGCTATACCACCCTGTGACCTGTCCATGTTTTGCCTGAATGTGGTTGTGTGCCTGGCCTGCTGTATGTCCCCAGTCTTGGACTATGGCATTTTGAAATCCATACTGTACCAGAATCTGACCTGGCACTGAAAGTCAGCTGTGCTGTGTCCTGGATGTGCCTTCCCTCTGTGTGACAAAGGAAAACTATTTCTCTCCTTCAGGGGATGAAGTCCACAAGACTCTAGTAGGAAATTGTGGCTCAGACTGGGACTTAAACAGACAGACTTAAACCCTCCTGAACAGAGAAAGGTCTCTGTGCCCGAGTGGCGTGGCTCTAGCTCCGTGATGACAGGTGACGTCATGAGCAGACTCAGGATTTAACCGCTCGTTGTGAACTTGGCCTGATAGCACCACTTGGGGCCTATTTCTCGAAGCTTACAAGCTCACAAGTTTACAAGTAATAGCTTGTATTTACAAGTACAGGTGACTCGTTATACGCGGGGGTTGCGTTCCTGGAAATCGTATCCACTTTGTTGGGAGGAGGGAACCACATGTATGCGAAAACGCGGATAACGAAAGCGCGTATAACGAGAGTCACCTGTACTTGTAAATTCTGTTTCTTGAAAATCTTGTAGGAAACGCTTGTATTTTTTTTACTGCGGGGTCAAAGTTCACAAGCTCACAAGAGAACATGGCACCCACGGAGAGCACATTGGCTGTGCTTCCGGGAGAAGAAAACTGTTCTGTTCCGTGCATACAATGATAAAATAACTAAAAGACAAGGAGAGTGCATAGAACATATTAGCTGACAAAGTCCACGCCATGGAGATAATGGGAGGAACGAAGACATGGCGATACATGTGGGAAGTGTGTGTTGGTGCAACAAGAGTAAGGCATCGATGGTAACTAACAGACTGAAACAGCGTGTTTTTATTATTATTTTATTTTAAACTGGTTAATGTGAAAATAGTGTCGTAAGAAAAAGAATGCTGAATGTTTAGGATAAACATTGTAATTCTAAATCTATTTTCCCTTGCACTTGACGCAGGTTGCACAGGTATTTGACGGAAGGTATTTGTGTACTTTGAAGCCGCAATATTTAATTGAAAAATATTGGTTTGGGCTTTATGAAGAGAATTATAAAATAGTTATAGTTTTATAATTCTCTATTTTATTCTATAAGCAAATCAAATCCAGATCGTGGCTGAATCACTCGTCCACGGCGAACTAAAAGGCGTCCGAAAAGCCTGGAAACAGGAACTAATATTTTTTATTGTTTTCAATGATCATAATCAATGTGCTGTCCATGCAATTGCAAGCAGGTTTGTTGGCGATATTTCCATTTTGTTAAGGACATTGTTTCTAATTAATAGATATCAATCACCTACAAGAAAATATTTAAAAAATATTAGGCTCTATGTTTCCAGATTTTTTGGACATTCTGTACATCATGCACCCACGCATCATGCCCAGATTAATCAGAATCGCTCGAAAACATGGCTTTACGTGCACTTGTGAACGCATTAACCGTCCAGAGACTAGTAAGATTTCTCAGGTATTTTACAAGTATATGCAGCCAGACTTCTCTTTCGAGAAACGTCAACTTTTACTTCGCCTAACAACACTAATAAATTACAAGAGCACAGAGTTGTAAACAGGGACGTAGACAGGGAGGGTTGTCCTGGGTGTCTGTACACCCACCCCCGAAATGAAGCAAAATATCATGAAAGAAGGAGTGTGGAAGTGGGAGGGGTCCCCCTACCCCTCCCACTCCCATATTCCTTGTTTGGGGGGGGGGGGGGGGGGGGGGGGGGGAAAATTTTCACATTT